GAGAATAAACCATGTCGGCGATTGGGGCACCCAGTTTGGCATGCTGCTTGCCCATCTGATGGACAAGTACCCTGACTACAAGAAGACCCCTCCGCCCATTGCCAATCTTCAGGTGTTCTATAAGGAGTCGAAGAAGCGCTTCGACGAGGAGCCAGAGTTTAAGAAGAAGGCCTACGAAACCACTGTTAGACTGCAGGCTAAAGAGCCCGAAATGATTCAGGCTTGGCAGCTGATTTGCGACATCTCGCGAAAGGAGTTTGCCGAAGTGTACCAGATTCTCGACATCAACCCCGGGCTGACTGAACGTGGCGAGTCCTTCTACCACGACCGCATGCAGACCGTTGTCGCCGACCTCATTGAGCGGAACTTGTTGGTCGAGGAGGAAGGTCGCAAGTTAATCTACCCAACCAACAAGAGCTACCCTCCGCTGACCATCGTCAAGTCTGACGGCGGCTTCACCTACGACACGTCAGACATGGCGGCAATCAGACAGCGAGTCACCGAGGAGAAGGCCACCCGAGTTATCTACACGGTGGACATTGGTCAAAGTGTGCACTTTCACTCACTCTTTGACTGCGCTCGCATTGCCGGCTACTACGATCCGACCACGACTCGCGTTGAGCACCTTTCTTTTGGAGTGGTCTTGGGTAAGCTAAATCAATGATTAGTTCAAATTGTTTACAGTTCTAACTCTACCCTTTCAATCTACAGGTGAGGACAAGAAAAAGTTCAAAACTCGCTCCGGTGACACGGTCAAGCTAAAGGACTTGATCAGTGAAGGCCTGGAAAGGTCGCTGCAGAAGCTGAAGGAGAAGGAGCGTGACAAGGTGCTGACTGAAGAGGAGCTGAAGGCCGCGCAGGAGGCGGTTGCCATTGGCTGCATCAAGTACTCTGACCTGAGCCATGACCGCAATCATGACTACGTCTTCAGCTTTGACCGAATGCTCGACGATCGTGGAAACACTGCCGTGTACCTCCTCTACGCCTTGACGCGAATTCGATCGATCATTCGCAACGCCAACTTGCCCAAGTCAGTTTCTGAGATTGGCACTGAGATGATGCTGAACGGCAGTCTGACGCTTGATCACCCTCGGGAGATGAAGCTGGCCAAGGCCATCACCAACTTTACTGATGTGATTGTGCAAATTGTCGATGATCTCTACCTGCACAGCCTCTGTGCCTATCTCTACAATTTGTCGGTGGTCTTCAGTGAGTTTTACGACGTCTGCTATGTGATCGAGAAGAAAGACAATGAAACGAAGGTGAACCTGAACCGAGTTGTCCTCTGTGAGGCCACTGCTCGCATCTTTGAGACTGGCTTCTACATTCTGGGCATCAAAACGGTCGAAAAGATGTAACCCTTTCCCACTACACGAGTATTTCGCGGCCTTTTAATCACTCACTCTATCCTGTGTGAACTTGTATCCCCAATCCCAGTGGAATAAAAGAAACTGAAGTTCTCTTGCATTTCGCTATCTCACTTGAGTTCGTTTTCTACTGGGGCGCATTCTTATCAGCAAGACTGTAGCTTCACTGCAGGCGCCCACTTATCACTGATGAATCATCGATTAAAGAGAGCGAGCGCGCGCGAGAAGAGGCAGTAAAAGAAGCTCCTCAGAACAGAGCTACTTTCATTTTTACACTGTCCTTCAGCCCTTCAAGTTCTTCCGATTCTAGTGTTCCATTTCTAAATTGGTCACTCTTTGAATTCTTCTTTTTCTTTCCCAACTTTCACCCACCACTTCTGCGAGAATAGAAATGGATACAGCGAAGGTGAGCTCGCTGCTCGACGACTTCTTAGAAAGCTCTCCCGGGAGCGATCAACGGATTCGCGAATTCTTTGTTCGAACCGCGGAAACTGCTTTGGTCATCAAAAATCAAAACACTGCGTTGGTCAGCTTGGACGAGTGCGTTCCTGACTCGCCACAATCATGCCAGAATCATGAAAAGTAAGTACTCTTTCTTCAATTTTCAATTTATTTCAACTTTTTCTTTAGTAGCCGAGACTTCTACGCCAGATTCATGAAAGAAGAGCGTCAAAAGTACATGGTAAGCATACTGGCAGCAAGAAGTGTTTCATTTCTGAATATTGATTTTCTCTTAACTTCTATTTTCAGAAACTACTCAAAGAACACCGGAACGAAATGTTCTGCGACGATTACTATCTAAATTCGAACACATCCCAGCAAATAATAGACCAAGACGGTATCTTCGATAAGAAAAGCCCTTGGGGAAGACTTTGCATTCTCGACTACCAAGCACAGATTCTCAAGACTATTCACGAGAATCGAATCGTCATTATCAAAGGTTTCACTGGCTGTGGCAAATCGACTCAAATTCCGCAGTACCTGGCGATGGACTGTCAGAAGCAAGGTCAGCCGTACAGCATAATCGTCACCCAGCCGCGAAGAGTGGCCGCCAAGATGTTGGCCACTCGAGTTGCCGCAGAACTTGACTGTCCACTCGGCAGTTTGGTCGGCTACCAAATTGGTAAGTCCTGTTTCTATTTCTCTGATTTCTATTTCTATTTTGTAACCAATTTCTATCTCTCTAGGTCTTGACCAGGCAAAAAGCAACCAAAAGACAAGAATCCTCTACGTGACCACTGGAGTCCTCCTGCAGAGACTAATCATGTCATCTGGCCTGAAACAAGTCACGCACATCATTCTCGATGAAGTTCACGAGCGTTCGGCAGACATGGACATGCTATTTCTGGCACTGAAGAGGAAGATTTTTGCATGTGACCTAAACGTGAAGATCATTCTCATGTCAGCCACCTGCAATGTTGACCTCTTCCAGGAGTACTTCACTCTGCCCAAGTACATCTCCGACACCACCTGTATTGACTGCAGTCCTGCTGTTTTGGAGATTCGAGACTCTTCTATAGGCAGTACCATTAAGCGGTTCAAGCAGGAGATCTTCTATCTTGACGACATTGTCGGCAAAATTGAAGATTTGCAGAGTACTTTGAAGTACATCGAAAACAGCAACAGATATTATTCTTACAAGGAATTTTTGCGGCAAAGTAGCACTCAGATGATCTTCAATAAGAACTACCCAACAGTGCACCAGGCTCTTCACGACGCAGTACTGGCCATCCTCTTTCATCAAATCGAAGCTCACCAATTGGGTTTGTATATTGCTGTAAAACCATTTCACCGGGTTTTAATCATTTTTATTGTCCGCTTTTCAGATAACCAAAATCGCGGAACAGTGCTCATCTTCCTGCCCGGCTTGGCAGAGATTCTCGATTTGATGAAGGTGCTGAGCGACTCGCCCCTTTCGGAGCGCTTCAAGTGGCAGTTCTCCATCCTCCACTCGACGGTGTCACTGCAGGAGCAGACGGACGTGCTCAGGGTGGTCGCCAGTGGCTGGCGGCACATTATCCTCGCAACGAACATCGCCGAGTCGTCGCTGACGGTGCCCAACATCGAGTTCGTGATTGACTTTTGCCTGTGCAAGGTGCTGATGGCCAGTCGGCAGGGCTACAGCATGACTTACCTCTCACTGCAGTGGAGCTCGCAGTCCTCCTCTGACCAGCGCGCCGGCCGCACCGGTCGCACCAACCACGGCCAGGTCTTTCGCCTCATTCCGCGCCGCTTCTACAAGACACTGGAGCAGTTTGATGTGCCCGAGTTTGAGCGGACGCCGCTGGAGAACTACGTCCTGAAGGCGAAGCTGATCGACGACAGTCTGCCGCCGAAGAAGGTGCTCGCCTATGCGCTCAGTCCGCCCGCCCTGGAGGACATCGAGTCGTCGCTGCTGGCCCTGAAGCGCACTAATGCTCTCACGGTGACCACCACCACCGCCTGCTGTCGCACTCCCTCGCAGGAGTTGATGGCGCTGGTCAGCTCCGAAGAGGAAAGTGAGAGTGGCTACGAGAGCGCCGAAGGGAGAGACGAGACCACCACGGAGGTGTACCAGCGAGACGACGGCAACCTCACCGCGCTGGGCTACATCATGGCAATGCTGCCCATGGATCTCAAGCTGAGCAAGCTGGTTGCCCTGGGCGTCGTCTTTGACTGCACCTACGAGGCGGTAATCATCGCCGCCGCCCACTGCACCTCGGGTTTTTTCGTGCAGAACGCCTTCAACCCGCTGCGCAGCTACAAGTCGCACCTCGAGTGGGCGGGCCGGTCCTTCTCCGACTCGCTGGCCTATCTCAGGGCGTACCGCGCGTACAAGGCAATGAAGAACACCTTCCAGGGCGTCATGTTCCTCTCGAAGATTTGGTGCCAGAGCCGGAACATCGACTACCTGCGACTGCTGGAGATGGAGACGCTCGTCAGCGAGGTGATCAACCGCCTGGAGATGAACCTGAAGGTGAACTGTGTCCGGCCGACCAACTACCCCCAGTCGGAGCAGGATCTAATCTTGAAGGTGATCATCGCCGGCGCCTTCTACCCGAACTACTTTCTACGTCACTACGCCGATGCTGATCTGCTCGAAAAGTACCAGTCGTCGAGTGTCGACTTCAATGACACGGTCATACTGAACGGATTCACCAATGACACCGCCATCTCTTCGCTGTACGTGCCCTTGCTGCATCAGCTTTTTCAGGGCTGCTCTCCGAACATTGAGTACCGGGTGGACGGCAGTACGGTGTACATGAAGATGGACATCCAGAGCCCGAGTACTGCGGGCATCGATCTTGACGGTTTCGATAATAATAATGGCGGTGATCATCACCCTCAACAGCTGCCAAAAACAACCTCAAGTACTACTGCTGTAGGCCAGTCTTCCGACTTATTGTCATCTTGCAGTGAAAGTAGCGTTCATTCTTCAGTCTACCATGCTTTGGCCGTCAAGAAGCTGAAGCCGCTCCAGAAGTTGAATCGANTATCTTGCAGTGAAAGTAGCGTTCATTCTTCAGTCTACCATGCTTTGGCCGTCAAGAAGCTGAAGCCGCTCCAGAAGTTAAATCGATTTCGCCCAGAAATTGAGGACGAACAGAATAGAGATTTGTAGTAAGTTTTTTTATTTTGTTATACCATCAGATTGTTTTACCATTNTGGCCGTCAAGAAGCTGAAGCCGCTCCAGAAGTTGAATCGGTTTCGCCCAGAAATTGAGGACGAACAGAATAGAGATTTGTAGTAAGTTTTTTTATTTTGTTATACTATCAGATTGTTTTACCATTAATTTGTTTTTCAGCAACCGGGAGGTCACTTTAAGGGTATGTAAAATTGAATCCCCTGTATTCCAGTATTTTAAATCTCNAAGTTTTTTTATTTTGTTATACCATCAGATTGTTTTACCATTTATTTGTTTTTGCAGCAACCGGGAGGTCATTTTAAGGGTATGTAAAATTGAATCCCCTGTATTCCAGTATTTTAAATCTCATTTTTTCCTACTTCAAAACAGTCTGACAACATAAGGAAAACCGTCGATGAAGGCCAGTTCACGCACGAAACCTTCCCCCTGCGCGGCCCCACCTCTCCTCTGGAGGTAGTGTTCTGCCCACTGCCTCGAATGAACTTTCCTCAGCGCTGCTATGTGGCACCTAGTAGCGTCAACTGCGTCGCCCTCGAGCCGAACGTCAGCTCGGCGCGGCACGCCCGTCTTCTGGTCGCCGGAGAAATCACCCTCGCCGGCTCCCGACGAGAGAGATTCTCATTGGGCCACACGACGCTAATGCCAAACAGCATCGACTTTCCCGTGCTGATGTGCATGCTCTGGGCGCCCCGGGTGGAGTTACGCGTCAATAAGCTGCTCTCAGAGCGGACCTACGGTCTGCCTGAGGAGCTCTGCGGCGCCCTCTGCGGCGTCGGCTTTGACCCGTCCACGGGCGTCTCCTACGACCCTGACACCGACATGGAGCTGCTCTTTGACTCGAGCGTCACCGCACAGGACATTGAGCTGCTCAATCTGCTGCGCTACCAGGTGAGCCAGTTCTTCAAGGCGAAACACCAGCACATCACCAGCACGCCACCACAGTGGACGTCCATCGGTGAGCGCCTGCAGCGGCAGCAGAGCCTCGGTCTGGCCGAGCAGTGCCTTGCCAAGCGACAGCAGATGTGCCGCCAGACGCTGCTTCAGCTGCTCAACCGAACTCGCTTTCCCCGGCACTGGTTTCAGCGAGGCTCAGAGTGGGGTGCCAAGCCCACCAGAGTCTCGCCGACGTACCACTGGAGCATGTTCAGCAGCACTGCTGGCCACGGGGGCCACCAGACGCCACCCTACCGTGCCTTTCACTTTCACCCCCTCAGTCAGCCGTTTCCGGAGAACATCAACCCGAAGAAAGCCGTTCTGAAGCCCATCAGCATACCGATTCTCAATGAGCAGACTGGTACTGCCTCCACCACCACCACCACCACCACCAGCAGTTGGGAGGACATTGTTCTACAGAACTTGAACAGTCTGGAGACCAATGATTTCGAGTAAGTGCTACCAAAAGAGATGACACCGGCAACTAAACTTAACCTGTTCCCTTTTATTCTTACAGACCTTGCAAGGACACAGCCAGCAATCTGTACATTTGCAAGCTGTGCATGATCTTCACCTTTGCCTGCAGTGACATGCAATTGCACTGCCACAATGATGAGCACACTGAAGCGAGCCGCCTTTTTCGGAAGTACATCGTCGTTTCGACGTCTGAACGGGCACTGGCGCAGGCTTTTGCCAGTACTTCCTATGAAGAGGAAAGGGCGCTGGAGAGAGTGGCAAGAGGGGAGGAGGAAGAGCTGGGAGAGCAGTTCCCCACTTACCACAACGCCCTCCAGCTGGTGAAGTACACTGAACCGGATGTGGAGTCAATCAATTTTGACGATCAATCGACGACTAGCACTTTGCCGTTGATGACTTTTGATGAACCGGACGACAAAGATGAGGAGGAAAAAAATGATCCATTTACGGATCCCTTCAATGACTCCTTCTGGGAAGAAAAGAACAAGGACTTGTGGGATGAAGTGGACTAACTTTTTGGGCCGATCATTTTCGACTACTTTTTGCATTTAAAACACATCTATATTTTATTTTAGCTCATCGAATTCTACTAATGCATTATACTATACTATTCCACTAATAAAGAACTTTAGACTTGCAAAATGCTTTTGCCAGGGAAAAATTCAAATTCTCAATTTAGCTATTTCTACGTCTCACGCCACTGTCTCACATGTTTCGCGGCTACATCGATCCAGTCGCATGTTTATGCTGCGGGAAAAAATGTTTCGGTCGCCGCAACACCTTTGCTGACATTTGCCGATCTTACTTTTGTCCTTCTGCGTCACTCCTCCCCGATCTAGTCCCACCAGCCAGAAAAGAAGAGCATTCACATGATGCTTCTGCCTAGATTGCTGTCCTCTTCAGGGTCGGTGTCCACATCTTTGCGGGCTCTCGTACGAAGGAAAACTACAGTAGCTGCTGCCTCTGCAAATAGCGATGCACTCAAGACAACAACATTATCTAAATCACCTGAGGGTAAGATTGTTTTGCGCGTTTGCCCCATCAAAGTGACTGACATTGTTTTGTTTTCCTTTGCAGGTTTTCCGACGCCCGTCTTTTCACAAGTTACCAACGATGACAATGAAACCAAAGTCACCACGCTCAAGAACGGATTGCGCGTTGCTTCGCAAAACAAGTTCGGCCAGTTCTGCACGGTTGGTGTGGTGATTGACTCTGGGTCGCGCTTTGAGGCAAAGCACTTTCCGGGAACTTCACATTTTCTCGAGAAGATGGCTTACAACTCAACGGTGGAGTTTGAGAGCAAAGACTCCATCATGCAGGTACTGGAAAAGTACGGCGGAATCTGTGATTGCCAAGGTTCGCGCGATACGATGATCTACGCCGCAAGCATTCACTCAAAAGGCCTTCCATCGGCTGTTCACCTACTGTCTGAAGCCGTTCTACGGCCACATTTGCGTGCAGATGAAGTGGACTTTGCGCGGCAGATGATTGAGTTTGAGCTTGAAGATTTGGAAATGCGACCTGACCCTGAACCAATACTCTTTGAGATGATTCACAGTGCCGCGTATCGATCAAACACGCTGGGATTGCCGAGGTTCTGCAACAAGGAGTCGGTGAACTTGATTCAGCCCAGTGACCTCTTCAACTACATCAGCACCTACCACCGACCTGAGCGAATGGTCGTGGCCGGAGTGGGCGTCGACCATCAACACCTCGTTGACCTTGCCCAGCAGTACTTTGTCGAGAAGCAGCCAATCTGGACATCAAGTCAGGATATTGCCTCAAAACTAAAGTCTGACAACAAGGCCGACAACTCCATTTCGCAATACACCGGAGGCATAAAGACCGTCACAAAGGACCTGTCGAACGTCAGTCTAGGACCGACGCCGATGCCTGAGCTGGCGCACTTTGTGATTGGCCTCGAGTCAGTGTCGCACCAGGAGCTGGACAACTTTGTGCCCATTTGTGTGCTGAACATGCTGATGGGCGGCGGTGGCTCATTTTCCGCTGGCGGCCCTGGAAAGGGCATGTACACGAGGCTGTACACTCGAGTGCTCAACCTCTACCATTGGATGTTCAGTGCCACTGCCCTCAATCACTCCTACCAGGACTCGGGTCTGTTCTGCATTCAGGCGTCAGCTCACCCAAACCAACTGCGTGAGCTGGTCAATGTGATCATCTCCGAGACAGTGGCCATGAGCCAGGGCGTCGGAGCAGAGGAGCTGAATCGGGCAAAGAAGCAGCTCAAGTCAATGCTCCTCATGAACCTCGAGGCGCGACCGGTCATGTTTGAGGACATTGGCCGACAGGTACTGTCCAGTGGCCAGCGAAGACCGCCGCAGTTTTTCATTGACCGCATCGACAAGGTGACCCCTGATGATATTGTTCGTGTCGCCCGAGAGATGCTGCGCAGTCGTGCCTCAGTGGCCGGACTGGGTGATTTGCGCCAGCTGCCGACGCTGGAGGAGATTGAGAGCGCCCTGCAGAGCAAGGACGGTAAAATTCCAAAGCGCTTCAACTTGTTCCGGTAAGAAGAAGGAGCGGCTTTCGTTTCTTCAAAATGCCCATCTTCATCACTTGCCAATTTTTCACACCCCAATTCACACTTTTCACCTTAATTGTTGTGTATGATATCATTAGCAATAGAATATTAGAAAATCGAATTTTCCTATGATTAGCAACAACAAAGCCCTCTTGGCCGACTACAAAAGCATCTCAGGCCGGAGCTGTCCATTCTTATCTGTTGTAGTCAGTGATCTGCCAACAGATCCAATAAAAGATCCTTTTGCAAATTGTTGTTAGTTTTAGCCACTTTTTAGGCTATCCACAGCTGTAGTTTAGAACAAGCCAGCAATCCAGCAGACAGAGCAGAAAGGCAAGCAAGAAGCCAAGCGAAGCTGAACAGCGATGAGCAGCCGAACCACCGGCGGGAAGAGCTCCTCCCAGCGAGCCTTTCTGGTGCTGAGTCGTCAGCTGCGTGAGCTCCTCCGCCACCCGAACGACCACTTCAGCGTGGGCCTGGTGGACGAGGCGAATGTCTTCCTCTGGGAGGTGCTCATCGTCGGCCCCCGGGACACCCTCTACGAGGGCGGCCTCTTCAAGGCGCACCTCACCTTTCCGGGCAACTTTCCCGACAGTCCGCCCTCGATGCGCTTCCTCTCGGAGATGTGGCACCCCAACATCGCCCGCAACGGCCTGGTCTGCATCAGCACCCTGCACCACCCCAATGCGGAGAGCTACGGCTACGAGGACGCCTCGCAGCGCTGGTCGCCGGTGCACTCCGTGGAGACCATCATCATGTCGGTGATCAGCATGCTCTCCGATCCAAACGTAGAGTCGCCCGCCAACCTCGACGCCGCCATTGAGATGCGCCGCAACTACGAGGCCTACAAGCGGCATGTCCGCGCCCTGGCGCAGAAGACTCTCATCTAGAGTCTCTACAGCCACTGCAAACCTGCAGACCTCTCCTGGCACCTTTGCCGGCTGGGAAATTTTTTTTTTCATTTTACTTTTGCCCCCACCTTTGCAGCACTCCTCGAGGCTGCAAAGTACAATAAAATTTTTTACAAAGGAGGAAACAAAAGAGCGGCAG